CAGGCTGATTCACTCACAGGGACACAAGCAGCTCAGTTCCATGTATTTAACTCCTTACTAATGGTTTGTTCAGATACTTGTTAAATTCTGGAGAAGACGTCTCATCACAGTTAGAAAGAAATCTAATAAATATATAAATAATATATAATAACTCAAATCTCAAAGTATTTAAGTCTTCTTCCTTCTTTCTGAGACAATGTTTTGGGGCTCTTTGTTTTGTGTCATATTAATTTATGCATGTTTTTCTGTGCTACATTCTCTGTTTGGATTTCAGCAGCTCCCAGGAGAATTTTGAACCCAGGGTCTTATAAACAAACAGTTTCCTGTATGTGTGCAGACAGTTGTCTGCTCCACTGTGTGAGATCGCTTCACAATCGAATCTAATCCTCAACATTAAAACACATCAAGAGAAAAGACAAAGTGATTCGGAAAAAAACTCACAATTTAAACAGTTTGAACAAAGATAAAACATGATACATGTGTCATACATTTATAAAATTCAATCACATTCCATCATGCATTGTTTGTTAGCAGCAACATTTTACTCTAACTTATATTAGCAGTACAATAAATACATTTTGGTGACAGCTTGATATTGTTTTTAATTTAATAATATAAGTTCAAGTTAATACATGCTGCTTCACACATTATTTTCTCACAGCATCACATGTATGTAAATGACACAGTATCGAATCCCAGAGCTTTCACTGGTGTAACTCTGACAAGGCACTTGTTGGTAGTATCATGTATGTTTAGGTTCATAACACTGAGTCTTTGGTCAGTTTCGACAGCTTCAGAGGTTGTGTTTCCACCGCTCGGTACTGAGTCCAGCTCCAGTCCTGATCCTGCAGAGAGAGAGAAACAGATGAAGCCATTTTACCACAGATCATTAACACTGTACTAGTGATACATTAAATTCTCGAAAAATTGAAATTAAACTCAAGCAAGTTATCTAGTAAAGGATGATCAGTAAAGACTGACTGCAATTATATGTCTTTAACAAGAAAAATAAATACATTGTGACCTACACACACATACACAACTATGTATGTGGTGGTGACTAATAATATTTGTAATAATCAGTTTTATTTTAAGAGATGTTTTCTATTCAGTCAAGCAACAATATTGAATTATTCACATGTTCCTTCACTCGTGAACATCATACCATGACACTGGGCTCCATCTCCTGGGTGGCGTCTTGCAGCAGAGAAGTCATCTGACCCAAATAACGCTGATTCTCATCCAGTAATTGATGAACAGTTTCACTGAAACAGACAAGAGACTCTGAATAGATGAAATGTTTCTTAACGTTTTCATGAACCCAGGAGAACAAGAGGCCCTTTTTTCTGACAAGGGAGGAGGATGAAAGCGAGTGGGGGGGACCTCTTGTGGTGGATTTGTGGCTTGCACACAAGTCTGCAGTTGGTAATAAGAGGTAAGAAAACTTGTTGGATTTAAATGTGTCTTCTAAACAGCTCAGTAATCAGAGAAACAGCCACATTATGTTTTAGCACTCAATACAACTGTGTCATTCTGAACTGAATTGTGACTTATTGTAATCTTACCTTTCAGTGGGTCGCTGCGTAATCGATTGTGATGGAGAAATACTCTGGGCCTAAATACACAACCACACACTGTATTAGCTCTGGTGTTATTTGACGGATCAGTTTAATAAACATGGTTTGACACCCAGAAAGACTTTCTGTCCTTCCACTGGTTAAATACTCACACAGGCGATCTTGAGTAGATACCAGAACTCTCTCTGCCGCTTCATTTGCATCTGCATCACGGCTGCCTCTGCAGCTTTTATGTTCTCCACTGCCCTCTCCAGCTTAGGGAACAAATCAATGATGCGCTGCTTACACACCAGGATTGTGCTATAGACAACAAGAGATGGGGGACACCAAAAATGACACACAGGGATCTGTTAAAGTTGTGCTAATTTTGCAAAGTTGTGCATGAGTGTGTGTGTGTTTGAAGAAGTGTCTAAATTACCTGAGGTGAGTGTATAAGTCTTTCAGCACTCTGTCCTGGTTCTGAACTGTTTGGAGGATGGTCTTCACCATGTCCGAGCTGTCACTGTAGCCATGTGGAGGGTCAGGACCTGGACAAACACATTCTCCTATCACTGTCCATGCACCACAATTTGTCACAAACCACATAGCATCCTGCTATTTTCAAAACCCAATGTCTAGTATTTTATGTGTCATGATTTGCACTAACTTTTGCATTTAGCTTTCAGTTGCTTGTAGAGTTCAATGGCCTTTTCCTCTCTGGAAAAAAAGAGACTGTTAACTTGTGGACATCAGGTATTTTCAAGGAAATATCATAGCTTCAATGTAACTGACAGCTGTTCCATCACGTCCCCTTGTCTCCTGGCAAATGGGCTCCTCTGCAACTCCACAATCTCAGAGTGTAGAGACACTATCTCTTCATCCAGATACCCTACATCTGCAACCTACAGCAGAAAACGCCAATCAGCACATGCCACTTTTTCAAAAACTGCAAGTAAGTCTCTGACGAGTGAAATTAACCGTCCTACCTTTGTTAACCTTTCAGCCTTCTCTTCGTTTTCCTGCCACGTCTTCAACATTTTTTCTGAAGCTTCAAATGAAAACAGCAGCAGATATTGAGTTTAATACATTTAAATAAGCATACGTGTCACAGCAGCAGGTTAATATGAACTCACAGATGCCGGTGGCCCTCTGCTTGGTGTATTGCTCGAGGTCGTTCTGGATGCTGGTCTTAAAGAAAGCTAGTTTGGCTCGGAGCTGCTGCGACTGGGAGAACAGCAGGTTCTTGTATCGAGTTAGGTTGGTGTTGTAACGCAGCAGACTCAACCTGTCCACACACAAACACATGTGTTTAACAACTCTGATGTTTGTAAGTGTTGAGTCTATATATTTGAGTGTCACTCACATGGCAGCCTTCTGTCCCTGGTACAGGCGAATGTAGTCCTCTTTCAGCCCGCAGATGTAGCTGACTGCTTCTCCCCACACTTTTCTCAGTGCAGACAGAGGGAGCTGAGTCTTCGTCTCCCTCACTGAGACGACACATAGTTCACAAAAAAACACATCTCCAGTTTAGATTCAGACATCAGATTCTAAGAATTTGCTGTAACTTAAAATATCAACAACAAACATCAGTGTTTTCTTTTAGGGCACCGTCACACCGACATTGTTCGGTCGGGACCTTTGGACTTTGCGTTTAGTACGAATCGAAATAAAAGGTGTTAAATGTGCCTCAAAATCCAAAAGAGCCAAAGAAATTCCTACAGACATTTATAAGGTATACAGTTATACATCTCACCTATAAAGTTAACACTGTCTGGCAGAGGTCTGGCAGTCAGTGGTCCAGAGTACTTGGTCAGACTCTTA